CCCCCTCCTTTTATTTTTTTTGTGTTCTTTTTCTATCTCTAAAATATCGACTCTCGTGTGGATGTAGACGATTTGTCGAACCATGTTAAATATTGTGTCAATGTATTTGGCATTCTATGAGCAAATATCAGTGCATCACAGGTCTGGATTCCCCAACAATTGGTATCAGAGCATATGGTTTAAAGTGGTGTTTGATTTTGCTCAAAAATAAAAGTTATTAAAATTGTGTTTTAACCATACCACTGTGTAGAGGAGGAAGAGACGAAGCCACTAGTGAAAACCGTGTCAAAATTGAATGTCGGACATAGCCACATGCACCATCACTTATCGGCGGGGTGGCTGGCCATGTTAGCAGATGCGCTCCACGCATTGCATGCATCTTTTTCGCCTGGATAGGCTAACCCAACTCATGTGCCATATTTGAATGTTGATGATGTCATCATTCCATCAGCATGCTATGTCAACGACTAATCAGCATCCATGTCAGCATAGTGGAACCCACCTACCATGTCATCGACAGCGAGCCGAGAAAAAGGATCCAGTGTAGCTGATCCTACGTGCAACCAGATCTAAGATTAAATCTGGGCTGTTTATCAGGCCAGAATTATTTTGATCAAATCTTAGCCGTTTGAAGTGCGATTTAGATGATTTCAGCCTTATTTCCAGCTAATGTAATCGTTTTGGATGCAATGGTATGGTCCGATCATTGAGATTGAGACAAAAATGGTGATGGTGAATTATTAAAGAGACATTGCCCGATTAGGAGGCATCTAAAGGTCATCATAGTGGTCGATGGAGATGAAGAAGAAGAAATCACACATGTTTACTCAATTACATGTGCTGAACTATTATGTGAGGAAATTTTAATTGCTTTGATGAGAGGCAAAATTAGAACACTATGGACACCTGATCATGTAAACAATTTGAGGTGGAGAGTGGAAATTGATGAAGACCAATCTTGATAAATCTAAGCACTAGTAGTCTCACCAGACGTTGAGAAATTAGGTATAAAACCAGGATACCCCAGATCACTTGCAAAGAAAAGTTATGACAAAGCTAGTAAATGGTTGTATATACGGAAAGACAGCACGATGGATAGACAGAACAGAGACTGTGAAAAGTTGTACAACAAGAAGTCTCTTATGCTCTTGATAAAGGCAATAAGCGAGGAACTTTCTAATGCATGCAAGGATGGAAAGATAAGCTATTATAAAAGCACCTAATTGAAGGGGTACGATCTCCTATGATGAATGACGAAGATACCAAAAGGAGTTGGTGTGGGTAGAGCTATCAAGCAGAAAGGCATAGAAGCTCCAAACATAAAAATCAAGATGGACGATTGCGAGGAGTGTACTGCAACTCTTTTTTTTTTTAGGTGATCAGTGGTAGTGATCTCTCATATAGTCCACATGATGGTGGAGAATTTTTGGAGCCACTTGGAAGCATCCCAGCTGAAGGAGGATGCGACCGCTTATGAAAGGCGAAGACATCTTAAAAAAAGATGTGAGGGCCATATGATGAGCCCAAGATCAGACCGCCACATGATCACGAGCAGAGACACCTCAGATGGAAGGTGTGAGGGCCATAATATGAGCCCAAGTTCAGATCGCTGTATAACGACAAGCGGAGACACCTTAGATGGAAGGTGTGAGGGCCATGATAGGAGTCCCAATTACAAAAGACCTCAGAGCCAATGTGATTGCTAGATATGAGTGGATAATATGGATAGCCAATGAAGTGGCTATGATGAGTATGAAGACAAATGCAGGATTGACTTTTATGGATGTTGCCCCCATGCTAAAGATCAGTGAGATAGAAGACATTTGACTTAGACAATAAGTGGATGACTTGTGGAGCATTAAGACGCGACCGCTATGCAGGAGTAGATGGCATGCGCAGGTTCCTGAAACAAGTTAACTCTTGTCAAGGTAGTGAGCTCGGTAATGACATTGTAATACTCAGAGTATGAAGACAGATATGGATCAACCTTTAATAGGCTGCTCCCATGGTTAAAGATGGAAAGCTACTTGGACTCTTGAGACTAAGAGCAGGAGACTCACTAAGAAGTAAGACGTGGTTTATAGGGTAGAACAGAGGGCAAACACAACTCCTGGATGAGTAGACTCTTAGAAAAGTGGTGAGCTTGTGATCATATTGAGATACTCAGATAATGACCGTCGCACTTGGGAATAGAAATTTCTATTTGAGGGGGTGTTGTAAGCCTTGGTGTGAGGATTGAAAAATCATTCCGGACCGAGCATGGTTGATACGCTTAAAGGGGAATGTTGTGTCCCAGAGACAAGCGTTAACACTCTTCAGATGTGATATGTGGGATCATCTGGTTGAAGTGATCCTTTGGTGTGAGCAAGGGTGTGCTTTGGTGACTCTGGTGATTGAAAAGTTTGGCGAGTACCAGTAAACTTGGCCATAAAAGCTCTCGGAATGATAAGCTTAGAAGAGTTGCAGGATGCAAGCTTATGCTGAACAAGCAAGAAGATAATTGCCCATATAAATGTCAAAGAGGGTGATTGTTGGGATTTGTCATTAATGGGTAATAAATTATGCAACCTACCCTAAGAAATAGGGTTGCCATTGTCAAAAGCCTACAATAGTAGGGGTGTAGCCAAGTTGCACCAAGTATTGACAAAATGGTGCAACTTATGTGCTGCCATCATTAGTGTCACAAATCATGACATGATTTATGAATCTTATCTTACCATTGATGCTTATAAATAGAGCCATTGTTTGAGAGTAAAATGAGAAAGTGGTGAGTGTGTATAAAAGAATAAAAGAGAAAGAGAGGCTGTCAAGGGTAGCAGCCCTACTGTTATTGCAGTAGTGAGCTGGGAGTTGAGTTTGAGTTGGTGTAATCCTCCTCCTCCATGTATTTATTTTGTGTTCTTCTCTATCTCTAATAATATCAACTCTTCCGTGGATGTAAGCGATTTGTCGAATCACGTTAAATATTGTGTCAGTGTGCTTGGCCTTCTATGAGCAAATATCAGTACATCACAGGTCTGGATTCCCCAACATGTTTAAAGCATGTCATAAGCCCTGACGACCCCAAGAAGGTTATTGAACAAAGCAATTTGTTGAGGCTTCTTTAAAATCAGAACTTGCTTACCAAAATTCCAGGGCAGGGCCTTTTCAAATACTTAGTGTTTGTCTTCCCTTCAAAGAATTGGAAGTGAAATAATCTTGCCTATCTTATCAATATCTAAACCTCTCATAGGCTTCCACTCATACCTCATTGTTGCCTTCAAATTTTGAAAAATTGGACAATCTCTCTGTCCATAGTTTCCAAATGCTCTCTACCTGTTTTAACATCCATTTATTTCTCTTTCATGCCTCGAAGCGAATTAAAACCCTATCTACTAGGGCAAAGTAAGGGATAATAGTTTCATAAATTAATTCAATGTATTTATTTAATTATAAATAACTTTTAAATTAAATTTGAATTTTGTTATAAAAATAAATTGAAACTTTAATTTAATCAAGAGTTGAAATTTATAACTTTTAGTTTATGAATTATAATTCACTTCCTATTTTCTTCTTTAACAAGGTTGATTTGAGTGATTTTTATAGAATATGCTTTTTATATAAATTTATTTTTATTTATTTTTTTCATTAATTATGGTGGTATCAGAATCTCCGCCTTGAACTGCTGCTGCATCATTATCGAAAACATCTAGCATCAAATCCACGAAGTCCTCCTTACCCTTAACAATTCCAGCAGCTCTTTTTCGTTTGTGTTCTTCTAGCCAATCTTCAACAACAAGGTCCAGTTCTTTTGCAGTCTTCTTCATAGCCTCCCCATGCCCCCCAAGATCCAAAAACCTTAAAAATGGTAGCGCATCAGACACCGGAAACACCCCTGTCCAATGAAAAAAGTCCTTCAATCCCTTTTTCCATCCTTTCACACTCTCCTCATCCTCAACGTTTGTGATATATCCCACAGTTTTTCCAACAATTGTTCTAAGAACGATGTTTAATGTTAGATCTCCAAACCATCTTTCCATTTCCACCAATACCATACTACCTTTTGATTTTGATGCACCACCTCTATTATCGTCCCATAACTTGTACAACTCTTTCAGAAATGCCCTGACCTCGCTCTCGCGTACATCTTTCAGCTTCTCTAGCCGGTAGTTTGATAGAAGCTCAACCGTGGTTATTTTGCGGACTTGACGCCAATAAGGCCCATATGGGCTAAACCCCATCATTGCACCATCGTAGGTCAAAAGCTCAGAGGCAAGTGTTTTCGGACGACCGGAAAAGGCTTTATCATGGGTGGTGAAACACTCGGCGGTCTCCCAATTGCTTACTACTAAAGCTCGGTGCACGCCCATCTTGATTGTGAAGATGGGTCCATATTTTTCAGCCATACTGCCCAGCACTTTATGGGGAGGTTCCGCCCCTCCTAACAGATGGAGGTGGCCAATCACAGGCCATGCTCCACCAGCTTTTGGTGCTGCTTTTTTCTTGCCTGTGCGTGCTAAAAATTTTCTTGAAATCCAGAAGATTGAACTGATGAAAATAACAATGAAAAACATGGGATTGGTGGTCATGTTATTTGTGAGGAATGGAAGAAAAAAAAAACTCCATAGCTCGTTCTGGAGATTTGGGATGTAACGCCTTCCTATAATAATATCAGCTTTTTTAAATGTGGAGGAGCTGTTCGGATGAGTCCAAAGCTTGCTGTTGCTTTCACATGGCCTTTTTTTTTTTTATGGTCGAGATTTCTCCACATACCGTAGAAACAAAAAGAAAATTTATATGTATCAATTTTTCTTATATATCATTTTTATTTTACTTTTACATAAAATGATAAATCAAAACAAAAATAAATAATATAAAAAATAAATAAATCTTTTGTATACTTTTTGACTAATTGGCTAATCAACAATTCACATATATAAGATGAGATATTTAAAATATATTATTATAAATATAAGATGTCATAAATAAAAATTAACCAATAAAATAATATAATGTGATATCGATAAAAGATAATTTCCAATAAGTAAAGGGTCTTGTCTTCTAAAAGTAAAAAAAAAATTCTTCTATAAGTTTTTTGAGCAAAAAAGTTTTTAAACTTTATTTATATACACTTGAAATCTATAAAGAATGAAGTTACGTTGGATCAAATCTAACAATTCCATAAAAGTTTTTTTATGACAATTTGAAGATAAATTAAAAGTAATATTTAAAGTATCAAATTATCAAATCTTGATATATAATACATGTCTAAATTCATGTCTTGTAAAATATAAATTTTGGCTTAATTTCAAAAAAACAACAAAATTACTGATTCAAGTTATCAATACACCGTTCAAGATTCTTCAACCCTACCATTAAAAACAAAATCCATTATTGAGTTGCATGCATAAACTAAGCTAATTTTTAAATTGATTTTGACGTAAAATATAAAGGGAGCACAAGGACTCACTATTCAAATATTAAAATTATAACTACATTATAAAAATTAAATGAAGCACATGGACTTTTCTTTGAGGGCTCATTATTCATTTGTAGAGACTTTTTTATATCAATCATTAAGTAATGTTGTGGGTTTTGATACCATGTTAATGATGATAACTGTAAGACTATATTTTTAAAGGATCGGATTAAGTGCCTACCTTTAAAAAACCTCAGTTTTCAACTTCATTAAAAATAAAGGACCATTGAATAGCAAAATTAATGAAAAAAACTCAAGAGAATGAATTAGAAAGGCCAAACTTTGACTATTATGGTTGTGTAAAAAAATTAGAGTGATGTCAGTGAGCATTCTATAATCAAAGCTATATGGAATATTTGTGATATTACTAATAACATATTTACTATAAATCATTTGAAAGAATTTATCAAGAAGGCCATTATAAACCAAGTAGAAATTTAGTTCAAACTTCATATTCTTATGCTGAGTATATACTTAAAGGATTGACCTACTAATGATGTTTGTGAACTATCAACCATCAAAGTTCAATTAATTTGATGGCAAAAGAAATCCAAGGTAACATGTTGCTTATTTCATGGAGACTTGTAATGATATCGATAAAGTAGTGATCTTATAGTAAAATAGTTTGTTCACTCTTTAAAAGATAAATATAATGCTAGATGATTTGTGTGAGGAAAATATCATCAAGTTGCCAGAGTTGAAATCTCTTAATTATATCTTAATTGAAGTTGTTGGTTTGGTAGGAAATGTATTTCTTAATTATTTTGAAATAAATATCAATCTATTTTTTAATATATCATACTGATATAAAATTAAAAATGAATAAATTCAAACATAATAAGCCCAGAAATACTATTAATCTTCAATAATATAATTGGTATTAAAATATTTTTAATTTTTTTTTAAATCAGTATAATATATTAAGAAATATATTGATATTTATTACAATATCCAAACATAAATAAAATCAATATATTTTTTTTTAATAATATCAGCTTATTTAAATGTGAAGGAGCTGTATGGATGAGTCCAAAGCTTGGCGTTGCTTTCATATGGCCTTTTTTTATGATTGAGATTTCTCCACGTATCATAGAACAAAAAAAAAAATCTCTCTATCAATTTTTCTTATATATCAATTTCATTTTACTTTTACATAAAATGATAAATCAAAACTAAAATAAATAACATAATAAATAAATAAATATTTATATATAACATTAAAAGTTTTTTAACAATACTTTAAATATAGTACTCAAAGTTGTGTATAAAAGTTTATGACAACTCTCCGATAGGACATCTTACCTCATCTACTCTCTTTAAGATAGAGTTTTCAATAACCTTTCAATGACAAATGACAAATAGGAAGAACATATTTTGTTGTTGAAAAAAACAGATTTTTAACATTTTGTTATTAGATAGAAAATAATTCTAGTTTAAAAAGTTTCTACTTAATATTATACTGACTAGAAATCGTAACAGGTCAACAGAGATTTTATAGTATAGAACTAATTACATAAAAGAAAAAATATTATTATTCTTTAAACATCCTATCTAAAATAAGCTAAATAAATCATTTTGTCTTGAATCATTAAAGATTTGTTATTGGTTTTCTCTTTTTTTGTGTTTTTTCATTATATTTGTTTTAAATTTTATTTTTAATTTTTCTATTCTTAATAATTGTATGAATATTGTTGTAGGATTTGTTTTGCATATGAGATCAATTTTTTTCTATTAGTAAATTCATTAGTAATAATATTTTTAATATCATCAAATAAAAAAGTATCGATAGAGCATTTTCATTTATGATTCCGTCAACAAATTAATTGCCAACAAAATAATAATATAAATATTAACAGAAAATTCCACAGTTAAATATAAAATTTATGGTAGTGAACCACCTTATAGTCCTTTTAATATTAAACAAGCTTTTAATATCACTAGATACAAAAATCAAAATATCATATGTGAATTGTAAATGACTGATCTAAAATTCTCCTCCTACTCGGTTCATTGAAGGAAAAACCGGGGCCGCTTGACCCCAGTATATGAGTAAATACAACCAAGATGATTAGTCACCATTTGTTTGTTTCATTGAAGACAAAATTGGGACTGCTTTTGATATATAAATACAAACAGGATGATTAGCCTTCATTGATCACCGAACGATATCACTTTCCTGCATGGAATTTGAAGCGCATGTTAAAATCGTTTTCTTCACTTTTTTATTGTTAGTGTTGAAAAACTCAAAAATTAATCATTTTTTATTTTTTAGTTATTATTGAAATACTCAATTATTATTTTCATTGCTTTTTATATATGGCTTGAATTTAGAGTTTTTTTAACACATTAAAAATAAAATATCAAATAAATAACGCGGTTAAAATTTAATTAGAAAATTAACATGGTTTATAAAATCATGGATGACACATGTAACTTTAAAATCACATGTAATATATTTGACTGCTTTAAAAAAATTATTTAAAAATTATTTTAGATTTAAAAAGTAAATAAATATTATCTATTAGGTAAAGCCTTAAAATATAATTTATAATTTGATAGGTAAGCTTTTCATGTTATTGGTATATGCCTACCAGTTATAACCCATATTATTTTGTACTTAATTTTTATCAAATTAATAGGGACGATAAGATACGAACTCGTTACTATTTAGTCATCAAGACTCTAATATCATGTTAAAGAACCAATTTAACCTAACAAAAAACCAATTCAACCCAAAAACTTAAGCTATTAGTTGAGATTCTAAGATATAATTTATACTATTTTTTAACATATTGTTTTTAAGTAAAATCCCTTTAGATTTGAAATTTTTAAAAGCTCATATTATCTTTTGCTTATTTTTTTATCAAATTAATAGAAATGATGAAATTTAAACTCATGATCGTTTAGTCATCAAGATTCTAATACTATGTTAAAAAACTAATTCAATAAAAAAATTTAAATTATTAGATAAAATTATAAAATATAAGTTATATTATTTTTAAAATTTTAAAATATAATTTATATTATTTTCTAATAAAAAACTAGTTTCCGGCATTGCTAACATGGAAGGAGAGGATTTCATGGATGTGATGCTGAACATTCTTGATGCTGATGCAGAATTGATTCAAGGTGGGATTCCGATACCATCAACAAAGCTACATGCCCGGTAACATTCTATACCAAGTACAGTTGATTAGAGATTTTTTAGGAATTAATTCAAGTATTGATGTAGATTACATGGTTTTTTTCACTGCTAAATGAGCCACAAAACGCAGCTAGAAGTGGGAGAAGAATGTGCCCTGGAGAATCTTTTGCTCTTCAAGTTAGGCAACTAGCACTTGCTTCGTCGCTTCATGGGTTTTGATTTTGTAATATTAGTGTCACTTTGAAAATATAAATCAACGGATTTGTGGTGGCAGTCACCAACACTTTATGATATAAACTTCAGAAAATCTAGATAATGGAGAGATTGTGTGTAAATTGTGGTCCGCTTAGGAAGTTTATTTATATACCAGCCATGGAACCCATACTCCACTGCAGGATATAATTTTTGTTTTATAAAATATTGGACATGCAAGCTATTTCAATGTGTTTTTTATATAAAAAAGATTCAAAGTATGAATCAAAAAACTTATACAAGTATCCAATTAATATAAATCAATAATCATTCATGTAAATAAACAAAAAAAATTTGTTAATAATAACCACAAGAAAAATAAAAAAAATTAAGAGATTAATGTAAATTAAGATATTTAATCACATAAAATAAAATATTCACCCGTATATGTTCACTAAACTTATTTATTTAAATCAATATAACATAAATTCACACAAAAAAACCCATGATCTAAAAGATAAATACAAATGAAACTAATTGAATAAATTAACTCATACCCTAAAAAAAGATTAAGCAAAGGCTAAACACATAAGAAATATTTTTAAAAAGAATATCTTCTATTTTAAAAAGTAAAATTTATTTATATAAAACAAAAAAAATAAATATAGTTAAAGTAGAATAATATCTTCAAAAATCAAATACAAGCAAAATAATTATTTTTTAAAAAAGTATATTCTATAAAGGCATGCAAAACTTGTAATCTAGGTTATGAAACTAAGAAAAATTCATAGAAAAGAAATATAAGAAAATCACAAAACTAATATTTTAAAAAAATTAATGCAACATGATAAGATTGCACGAAGTCGAATCCTTAATAAATCAAATGTTGAAAGATAAAACCAGAAAAAAACAAAACAATTACACAAAAGGATCT